ATTGTCGAGTTTTAGTAGACGTCCTCAGAACAGGGGTAAGACCGGGGAATGCAACTAACAATGAAAGGAAGCAACCTTGAACTTTAGCCATGCATGGACTGCACGTAGATGACATAGCAAGTAGATGCAACGAGCTACAGTACAAGTAACGAGGACAATTCTAAATACACATTTTGTGGGTACGGTTTCTCTGTTCGTCTTGATATTCTCGATTTCAAATCAAGTATGCGGTCACTGCTATATAATATGTCCAAGGGATGGCCTAATTACATATAACTTTGTGAGTACATTGCTGGAACATGGGGCACATTGGATTTGACCTCCGAGGGTCATCTGAGACTTTGGGGCACAAATCGAAAAAATGAGTTGAACTGAGAAAAATTCATGCCCTGAAGCAGCGTCTTCAATCAACGCACCCCTTGTATGAGCAGCAGTCCGATTATGCATTTCATGTTACACTTGCCATCATTCCACTGGATTAACCAGTGTGCTAAGACGATACGTTTCAGCGCTATTATAGAGACTATGTGCAGATAGATAGGATGATATGATAGATTAGTAGATACATACATAAAAATAGATAAATTAGACTAGCAGGACAGTATGTAGATAGCCACGAGTACATCAGTATCATAGATAGATAGATAGATAGATAAGATAATAGATACGATAGATAGATAGAATAGATAGATAGATAGATAGATAGATAGATGATAGATAGATAGATGATAGATTGATAGATTAGCGAGTTGGATAGATAGATAGATATATTTTGGGGGGTTATTTCTTTTCAAGCCAAGTGGTCACAACTGAGCCTTTATTTTCCCGCGGCAACGCCGGGTTGTCCTGCTAGTACAGATATAGAGCATCGGAACGCGTGGTGTGGGGAATATGTACTGTTATTCAAGAACATCTCAAGGAACTATCCTTACATTTCCTAATAGAACCATGGAAACGCAGCCTGCCAATTAACGGGAACATTAAGATTTAAGACTGCCTTTCTCTCGGGCGGAACGATGGCAAGGTGTGGAAGAGGAGCGATTTTTGATTATTTTTGGTCTGTCAGATTAAGGCCATTATACCCGCACGCTTCGCATGGCGTCTACGCACGGCCACGCACGCATCGCACTCGCACGTGCGTCAGCACTTCCCACACACATCACACACAACACTCCACACACTATATACACATAGTTGCTGTGGCTTATTAGTAATGGTATGAGACCAAAACGTATAACTTGTTTTAACAGTAAATTATTGAAGTATACTAGCAAAGGTTACCCGTTTCCTGTCGGGTGTCTGTCTGGTAAATTCGAGATGAATGAGCTGTATTTAGTGGTTGATAGGCTCACCTTAGGACAATTGACATTCTTTGGTAAAGTATGGTTTTTTGGTGTCTTCGTGGCTCGATGTGTGAATGTAATATCGGCCCTGTGGTTTGAGCCATCTTAGCTGAGAGGGCACAGTAGAGCAGTGCCATGAAGAAGCCAGTGTGGTCAGGTTCCACCGTAGTTTGGCAGTAAGTGGCACAAAGTCTGATGGTAGTGATGCTCTAGCGGGTGCCGGTAATATGTGCTGGCCTCTCGGGTGGCAATTACTTGCCCTAAGCAAACCGCCGTAAAAGTACACATAGAAAAGTTCGCCATTTGATAGATTTGGGTGATGACCACTAAATTTACAGAAACTTTATGCGGTAATACACGTTTTGAGTTAGGGTGTAGTTAATAACGAGTCTGCATTTCCTTGAGATTTTTGGTTATGTTCAGTTAAGTTTCGACGGGGAGCTCTTATCTCACCGCTGCCGGTAGTAAAAATTGCTAGGCAGCGCTACGGGACGCGAAGCTCCACCACGTGAAGGGCTTGGCCTATTGAGAGAACAATTGGGTTCTTGGCGAGGAAAAATCCACCAGCTTTCCTTGAATTGCTTTGAATTTGCGCTTCATTGGAGAATGTCTCGAAGACGAGATGCGAGTGTTTGCAGTAAGCGGAATACGGGAACTGGGGGCGATTAGGGCCACAGCGGAATAGGGAAACTGACGTGCGTTGAAGTGTGAAAATGATAGGGCTTGACATCGGATGGTCAGCCTGAATATTTGATCCTGGCGTATGTAATGGTTCTTTGATACACTGTGCGAGGAGCGGTGAGTATATTCTTGCATGACGAGTACGTGGGTTTGTGAACGAAGGCGTGTATGTGACTGTTGCTATGTGTTTGGAGGTGTGAAGTTCTACCATTATTTGCAGAGTCTATTCGTCGAATATTTTTAGAGTTTTAGTTCTACTAGTGATATATAGTTTTCTGATGATGATAGGTTTTGTCATGCAGTTTGGATACGGTTTTCTGAGAGTGCGGATTTTGATCACAAACGTGCTTTTTTTAGTTTTATCTGTTTAAGTTGCGGCTGACTAGTCTGGGGACATAGTAAACTGAAATGCATTGTTCGGACGGTTGGGAATTCAATGAATTAGCCCCTGTCATTAGTGTTGTAGCTGACCTAAGGGAGCTTAAGGGCTTCTTGTAAAAACTATGGTTTCTCTGGTTTCCGTGTACTGTGTCTCGGTGACCGATGAAACGATGGCGTTGGGTATTGCCTACTCAGATTGTAGAGGGCACAGTAGAGCATGCCAATGGAGGAGAAGGAACAATGGTGTGGTGGAGGTCCAAGCCGTATGTAGTGAAAGTCTGATCGTGAGCATTTGTTCTATTGTCATGAGATTATTGTGCATACAGGCGGATAGGGAATTGCCAGCTCTTTTAATATTGACAGAGTGGACAGAGCTGATGTCTAAGGGATGAATGTGATATACGTCCCTGGGTGAGGGGCATACTCGGTGGTTATTGTAAGGGAAAACAGTGTATATTTTTGCCAGTCAGACAGTGTAATCTACATGGAAGATGCGGGATATTTCACCGCATGAATGACCACCTGAGCTTCCGTGCAGGAGTATTTAAATTCACGTGGAGGGACTTAACTGACATAAAAATAAAATAAACCATCCATATTCTGTTAACTCACGTTTATGCGGCAGACCCTTTCCGAAAATAGGCCGCGCCCCTTTCCCGGTAGTCGCCGCCTCTATCCAGCCCTCGCGGCGCCCCTCTGAGAAGAGGGCAGATCCCCCCTCATGCCGCGAGATACAGGATCCCGTGACCCCGACGCCGGTCCCTTCCCGCTGCACGAGCACTGTCTCGCACACGCCAATCAATTAAAAATCAAGGCCAGTTGAACTTACACAACAGAACCGAACTGGGGAAGAGTGGAGAAGTAATAAGCACATGGGAGCGTTTCCAATAATATGCAATGATAAATAAAATAAAATATCTATTATACTACCAAAGGAATGTAATGTTGCATATTACTGGTCTTGATTCTACTATGCGTCAGTTCGAGATGCAATGCTCAATATTCTTGCCACACGCCTGCCAATACGCTGAGCTGCACAAACGCTGTGGGCTGCACCCTGCACACCCTGACATGATAGAATAATAATAGTGCTTGGTGTCACGGCTGATCGTGGCCGAAACAGCTCTCATTATGGATTTTGGGATATCCCAGGGAATTGCATGAGGGGATTAAAAATAACTTAGCTAATAAAAATTCGCTGTTTCCCTTTTATTAGTATACATTTTAAATTAAATATACTTTAAATATGCATATATTTAGGATGACAGAAAGAAGTTGCGCACCTGCCGTGAAATATATATTTTTTTAATTTTCGCGGCTGTCGAGTTTCGAACTCCCGAACCCTAACGTATTAGGCAAGCGTGCTACCACCGCGCCACAGCGGCAGCGGGCAACGGCGCGTACTACATTGGTTAATGATAGTGAGTAGTGACGTCGATCGATAAACCGGTATGATATCGGTACACCAGTGTTAAATAAAACGGCTTGAAATTCAACTTTATCGTGTTTTCATCGTTGAAAAAGTGCGCCTATATTACTCTACGAGTAGTAATGCATCGTTTACAGTCAAGCAATTTGAAATCATGCGAGCAGATTAAGAGAACATAGCTAACAAAAAATGGGCTGTTCCCTTTTATAGTATAGATATTTTCTGGGATATATGCCAATAAAATTTGTCTAGGAACTGAAAATTCCGATCTTATCTAACTGAGAACTGGGAAATGGCACATTTCTTACGTGGAACACTGGGAATGGATCCCGCCCCGTGCCTCCCCTCATATATAAACAGATAAAATAAAAAGGTGCGTGCCGCGATGGAGGATAATTAACAAAGGCGCTCGCTCTATCAGATAGCTGACCGAGGATTGAATTCACGCTGTCCTCGCGTGAAGTGCACGGGATCGCGTGACAGATACAAAGAAAGACGTGTATCAACACCATAATTGCTCTGATATACCAATGCATTAAGTGATATATCGGCGCAAATGCTCACTCGGTCTTCTACAATCTATATACTATAAGCCTTTAAAAATTGCCTTTATTACTAATTATTAATTACGGGCGATGTTTGTGCGTGTGCTCGTACCCGCATTTCGGCAAACTCATCCTAAACTATCGGCTGGATTACAATCATTTACACGGCATAGGGGCATGCGCCTGCAATGCAATGCAAGGGCCAAGCTCGAATAGTTCACAGCCTCCGTGAACACAGTTAAACGGCTGGCCAACCAGCCATCACGCGCGCTTTAGCAACGCTCGACACGAGCTGGTAACTAACGAGTACGTAAGCATGTAAGAATAATGGGAAAATGTACAAATGTATGTTAATCCAAACGCCACGGCAAATAATCGAAAGTAACAATGTAGTTTACTTGCACTCAGCTCAACACAATAAATATCAAATCTATACGTTAATAATCTGGCCTGCGTGTCAAATATATTCATGAAAATCATGAATTTTGCAATGTCCTTGCATCAAGCATAGTAAATATTGGAAGAATTTTGAAAAGAACAAATTGCCAATGAATAAATCATATTATTAAAATAATTATTATTTTACTATATTATATTTTTTAATTATTATTATTATTATTTAATTATTTTAGTGTGTAAACTAATTTTCGTCGAAGAATCATTCAAATATTAGCATTTCCCGTGGTGTGACTTGTGATCGTGGTGAGAGTTATAGTGTCCAGTGAGCTAACCACTTATCGAGATCACGGGTTATTGTAATGACATCGTTATACGCCAGGTAACGACCATGCACGGATTTCCATGACCATAAAAACCCGAGGTTTCACATAATAGATCCACGTTGGTTGTGCGTCACGCGCAGCCACACACTCGAGCACAAGCACATTGCTTCTATGGCGGTGTAGTCATAGAAAGTCGTTATTTCTGAATCTACACTATATTCCACAACACAGTATTGGCACACCGGATTCTCATAATACAGTAAAGGCACACACAGGGCTGCTTCTAATTCGTTAATAAAGCATATCCAAAAAGACATCTAAAAACATCTTTTTGTGTATAATTATCACCTATAAAGCGAGCAAAATCATGAAACTATAAAAATAGCAAAATTAACCATATAGGCTGGAAAATTTCTAGCATATATAGTACTAGCTCCAAGAAACGGTATTGCTAGGGTTAGAAGGTGTATTGACAGAATACACACCACAGAATAGGTGTATTGACGTTAGTCACACAGCCTGGTCGGGTTAATATAGTACTTGATTCTCAACTACAAAAGCCAACTGCATTTTTCTATGACCAATTTATAAGCCAACATTGTTAAAAGCCAGTGTTTAATACAATAAATGAGTCAAAAAGCAAACGAAATACAAAATTCAAATTTTTGCATGTTAATTTTCTTCATTCCTGAATTTCTAATTCACAACTTGCTATTTAATGCAACAGAAATAATTCCTATTCCATCATTTTGTCAGGTAACCTCGAGTCTTGCATAGGTGCACGTAGGATTCCAGAAGATACAGCCTCTAGAAACTCGTGTGGGGTTACAGCTCCTCCAAAGTTTGTGTGAGAGAATTCAGCAACTCGTAATAGCAGTACTTCATATCATAGTCCATGTCATACCAGTAGTTCACTAAACAGAAAAGTACAAATATTACTGCATAAAATATGTGTGCGTGCATGCGTGTGTGGGTGCATAACATTCGCCAACAAAAAATACCATAAAACCTATAACTCGTATAGTAGCTGTTGCACAATATACAGATATTAATATACCGTGTAAATATCTGGAATAGATATTAGAGTAGAATTAAAACACATTTCTTTATGATATCATACAAATCCATAAGGACGTCTTATAAGATACGTTTCAAAATTATCGCCCTTCCTCAGAATATCTTGACACTCATTTTTAGCTTATATTCACCATTCATACGATTCATTTGTATTAAATATGCTACTAAATAGAGGCAATTTCATGAGGCCCATAATAACTACCATAGCTAATATACAGACATGGCTCACCTGCAATACAGCCATGGGATTGCATAACATGGTGGAACCAGAGTGATGGAAGGTAGAGCATCTCCCCTGCATTAACGGTTACCGTGACAACGTTAGCGTCTGCATACTGCGGGAACCGCTCCACATCCGGGTTCAGAGGGTCAACAGGAATCCAAGGAACCTGCAACAAATAATGTAAGCTTACTTGTCTCTAAGTACATAAACACTTTGCTGTAGCTATACCATGTGGCGCAATGGGTTAACTTGTTTTCAAGTGTTAGCTTTACAACCAGTTAAGCACACCTAAAAATTGCTATACTGCAGGGTATTATCTAAAAGGATTACAATCAATATTCAGTGTGCAATAGAAAACCAAAGATGTGAGGAGTTTCACTGTTGTTTATGCATTAACTCTTGAGACTATACATTTTGTACATTAGCAGTCCAGGACTATTTTGCATATTTTGCACTAAGCCATTAGTTTGCCTCTAGTGTCCCTTTAACTCCTTCGGCCCCAGCCAGTTTCTATTCAGATACCAGCAAGTTTTATAGAAGCACTAGATCACGTGCCAAACAAGTCTCTGAAGGAATTTCATGGTTGTCTACTTGTTTAATACTGACTGGATGGTATATACACAGATAAGTAGATTGTAGAACGATTTTATGGAATCATAATTGCATGAAAAACACTGAACACAAACCACTTCTGCCTGGATTGCTTTCACATGGGGGATAAACCACATTCTCTGTATTAACTTCACTTGTGTAACAGCTCATTCTAACATGTGTGCTGACAGTCTCAAACTACTATCTGTATGATTACATTCAGTTTCCATCATCACCTGGTCGAGTCCATGTTTAGTCACTACCTCCCACTTGCCAGTAGCAGAATCTTCATGATACTCAGCTGGCTGATAATTCTCTGTTAAATACAACAAGGTAATTAACAAATATAAGTGCATCACTATAATCGCAACTCTTCAGGAAACTATCATCAACCTTGTATGGAGATGTTCTAGCACAATGTCAAGATGGTTATCCATCTCGTGGTGAAATGACAGATGTTTAAACACAGCATTATAAAATTCTTTGTAAAAAACATCTACATGCTGATACCTACTTGTCCCTAAAATAGTCAGATGAGTTACTTAAACAAAGAAATATTTTAAGGTCAGCCAGTGTGAACAAACAGTGCATGTAACCGCCTACAAATGCCTTTTGGGACAATTGTATTTATTTAAAGAACATATATCATTAATAACTACCCAATGAGAAATCACACAAAGGAAGGAAGATACGTACTGTATGGAATAAATGGCCGATCTGTTGGTGGAATGAGAGTAAATGTCTTACTTCCGGATATGACATAATACAAATTCTCATATGGATCCTTGTGCACTAAAATTATGAAGGCAAAAGGAAATGTTTTATAACAAATCATATTGGTTCTCCTAATTATACTTAATATTCTAATAAGGAAATTAATTAAAAATATAAACTAAAAATGCATGTCTTGTAAATATAGAAATACTATAAAAGTCTAGTATTTATAATATTATTGATAAAACATTTTCATACGAGAGCTGATGGCTTGTTCCTCGCCCATCCAAAAGTTAACAGCATCTGGTCGTTTACCTGTAAAGGCATCAAAAAGACATGGCCTCCTTTAGCTGTATCAAGATTCAGAGCATTTATAACATTTGATGGTGTGCACGTATGTGCTTGAGCATATCAAAAGCGTAATAAGCATCATGAGCATAATGTAAATAATCAACCATTTTATTTAATAAATTGATGGCATTGCTACCCTTGACACATATGTGATAGCAGATAAAACATTATCATTTTAACTCCAACAACAATATCTAGCTGTTTGGAAATTATACTGCTTACCAACAAATGCTTATGGATTACTTGCTTTCATACCAAAGGCTTCAGTGGCCCATCCTATATCAGCATCCACATCACCAAGTAGCTCCGGAAACTCCTCAGTCAAATTCGAGTTCTGCTTTTGGATGTAAAAGACACCATTTGCCTCTACCTTCTTGTCAATAATGTCGAGAAAATGGGAAAACGCCATTTTCCTTTCTTCTGGCATGACAAAGTTATTTCCTAAAACAGCATCTGCATATCCATTTGGTGTCACAGCGACAGACAACTCCTTGTCGCTGAACATTGACCTATAAAAAATGATACCTCTTAGTGTTTTATTGAGAAATCATTATTAGATTCATAGGACAAAGGATCTTAACATCATAGATACTGAACAACCATTGTGTCTAATCATTTCCCCATACATAATCACAATAGAGCAAGATAGACTGGAAGTTCATGTGTCATGTTCATGATAATAGGATGTTTACACGCACTCTACAGTGAAATTGGATGTATTTGCTTTACTGAGTGAAAAGCTCAATGATAGGGCCTACCATTGAAGACATATTAATGATTTTGATAATTATGTAACATATATGATACACACGTATATATTCTGTTCATATATTACATTGTTACGATAGTAGCACAATAAACCTAGTACCTAAAATAATCAGGATTCCATTTACTGAATGCTGGCCAATGTTTACAAGCATCATGCACCTTAAAGGGGACATTTCTGTTCACCCAATCTCTGAGGAATACAAGAGGTGAAGGTGGCTTATCCAGTGTTTGGACATCAGTTGGCAAATAAAGCTCTGCAAAGCAAAATTATTGTAATTAGGTGGTTGATAACATACCCACCGCATGATCCGCATAGATGTGACATATGGGTCCCTAAATTTATTATCAGAGAAAACTGCTCATGTCATATTAGCGACGAACTAATATCTAGAGTCGTCTTGTGCCGCAGTAATGATGGGCTTGCGCCACAAGTTGTGGTATGCCTACCCGTAATCTAAGACTAAACCTAGCCCAACTAGGCTCTACAACTGTTTCATGTTGTATAGGCCTGACACCCTCTGAAATATGTGAAAAGGGGGGGTCTCCGGTGCAGAGAAAAAGTTGGACCTATGCTCCGGGACCGGAAATATGTCACTATGTGAAAAGGGGGTCTCCAGGGCGGAAATTTTGAGGTGAAAAGGGGTGTCCTAACCGCGCCACATACCAACCATGTAATATATAGCAAGTGCCCACCCCCCCTCGGGAATCGAGCTAATCTCAGTCATTCACCAGTGCGCCACCAGCCACCACCACAGGCTCAGCCATGGGCCAGTGCATGGCACAGCCACGGCACTGGCCACTGAGGCTGATAGGGTCTATGTCTTCCAGGGTACTATCAGAGGGTACCCTGGGTATGGTTCGATATATCGGAACGTACCCTGGTAACTATCTAATATGCCAGACCGTACCTTGCCTACTCCACTAACGAGTCTAGGGAGTCGCCTACGCCTACTCCCTAACCATATCAGATAGTTACCAGGGTACGTTCCGCAGTGGCTACACGTCCGGAATCGGTCGCCTAGCCTCCAGGCTACGCATCCGGACATCCACTGATGCCGTATTCGAACGTGAATATGCCGCACATCCACTGATATGCCACTATAAACCCTAACCTTAACCCTAACTCTAACCCTTTGCAATATTCGGTCTATCAGACCTTCGGTCTATCAGACCTTCGGTCTATAGGGATGACCCCACGGAAAGTCTGTGCATCAGTTGATGATACACAGAAATCTGTGCATAACTTCGTGATACCTAAGGTGCTTAAAGTGGATTTGCGCCCCCTCCGATAGTACCCTGGAGGCTGGGGAACATAGACCCTGTACCGACCCTAGGGCTAGGCTATGACCCTGGCTATGAGTAGCTCTAGTACTATAGCCCGCGTACAGTTGCCGCAGGGCCTGCGCCAACTGTACGCGAGCTATAGTACTAGAGCTAGGCTATGAGCCACACTGAGCCAGGCCAAATGTGCTTGTTTCTGATGCGCATTCATAGTCGTATTCTTAACATTAACCTTGATTATATAACAGCGACTATCTCTATAATTATTTGTACTTCTTGTAATATTTACCTCTGGTATTTTGAGCAAGTTCATATAATGGAAGTTTTATAGGTACATTTTGATCTAGACGATCCATTTAATTTAGTATGGCAGCAAAATAATCATCAACGCCATCTATTGACATGTCATGACTAAAAACTGAAATGCTGTACATGTATTATAGTGATCTATAGTATATGGACGCATAGTTGGTATTTATAGATCAGTGATACCAAGAGCGTATTATTATTAAGAATGTTTATAATTAGCTCTTACTTCGCTTATTCGATTCATTTATTTCGCTCTTGGTGATATGGACCTATCGATGTACTCGCATGACCATTGTATAACCATAGATATATACAAAACATGTACCATACACAGTGACACACAACTCATGCAGGGCCCTATAGCTACCATTAGCTAGGCAATAGGAGGCAAATGCCTCCTACAAAATTTCTCAAAAAAAAATCACGAGAAACCAAAATTATTAACCACATTATTGAACCTGTAGTCCCCCAGCTAAAATAGAAATTTAGATGTAATATATGCAGAGAATGCACCACAGAGAACCATATAACCGTTGGCTTCTGGGGCCCTTAAGCGGGCCCCATACCCCACGCCCTATTGGCTCGCTTCGCTCCTAGCTTGTTCTTTAACTCACAACATTTGCCTCCTACAAAATTTACCTCTGGCTACGGCCCTGCCATACACATGTTGTATAATATTATATCTATGGTATAACCCATAGAAATAATATAGGTAGGCTCTATAGGGTGTCTTTATAATATTTCTATGGCATAACCGGTGCGTTGTTATCAGAATTCACGTACAAAAAAACAACAAATGTAACTATTAAATATTACACCAAGCCATTTAAAATCAATATATTTTTATACAATATAATAAAAAAAATATATAGTATAAAAGTATTGATTTCAAACGGCTTTGTGTAATATTCAATAATTATTTTTGTTTTGTTATTATGAATCAATGCAGAAATACATCCATGTATATAACAATTAATAGGACAAACAACTTATTAACAAATTATTTATCGCGATGTTCCGTCAGTTAAATTGGTAATTAATAATACTGATTTATTAGCCTCTTTTTAAATTAAACATTCTTTAAACTAAATTTTGTTTAAATTTACTAAAGGATACTTTTTTCTGTAATGTGTTGTGGGATCTGAAGCAATTTTTGTATGAAATCTTTTAGCAAGGTACAGTTTAGCACCCTTCTCCTATGCATTTTAAGTAAAGATGAACTACGATTCGAGTTCAAAGATGTCCCGATTACCGAGCATGTATGGAAATAGCCGCAGGTGTAGCTTACGTCTACTTTAAATTCGACGGCGAATTTGTTCAAACTATGTGTGTACACTGTTATTTCCAACACCCAAAAACTAATTATATAGATACATAGACTTAGAAAATAATGTAGAAATCTCATGACATCAACCGAATGGTGTATATAACCATCCTACAAATAACTACATTCTATATTATTCAAGACCTCGTGTAGTACGCGTGTGCAATGTTTCACAATTATAACCAAAAACGCACAATCCAAGTGCTTATCCGCCTTACTAGTTACTACCGGTAGGGCTATATATATATATATAATTGCGTAATATAGTTACGTAGGCAATGTTTTTTTTTAATCAATAAATAAATAAATAAATTATCAATCAGATAACATCAATTCTCTCTAATCAATCTCTGCTGGGGGTTTGAGAGAGTGAAAGAGAGAAATAGGGAGAGACAGCCAGAGAGAGAGAGAGAGAGAGAGAGACGAGAGACAGGGAAGAGAGGAGAGACCCCAGAGACGAGAGAGAGAGATAGAGCGCCGCACGCACGGCACACGCGGACGCGCCGCGACGCCCCCGGAGAAGACGAGACCGCGGAGAGAGAGAAAGATAGCGAAAGAAAGAACGAAAATGAGAGCAAGAAGGAGAGAGAGAAATGGGGAGAGACAGACATACAGACGGACAGACATACAGAGAGAGAGAGAGAGAGAGAGAGAGAGAGAGAGAGAGAGAGAGAAAGAGAGCGCGAGCGAGAGAGAGCGAGAGACAGAGAAAAAAAAGAGAGAAGAGAGAGATAGCGAGAGAAAGCAAAAGAGAAAGATCTAGTGAAAAAAAAGAGCGCGCGAGAGAGAGAGAGAGGGAGAGAAGGGGGGGGGGAAGAGAAAGAGTGAGAGATAGGCGAGCGAGGGAGCTAGGGTTAACAGAGCGAGCGTCACGCAGCTACGTAGCGATGTGACGCATTTGATGGGCGGAGCGTTGGCAAATACTGTATTGCGGTCGCTTTTCCAGGCGATTGATTCCGGCGGTGCGATACCTATTTTTTGCCGGGATTGAGTTAATTGAACTGTGTGTTTTTATTATAACAACGCCGTGTTCGTTTACGTTACAGTTACCACGTTTTATACATCGTATATCCACCAGCCTGCAGCTGATAGCGGAGCTACCACAGTGGTGAAATGTGTATTTATGATTCGTATCTCCCAATATGATATAATTCTAATATTTCAAACAGATCGAAGCGAGAGGAACAAACATATAATTCATATAATAAAAATACATATAAAGTCACGCACGCGTTTGCGTGGTTCAAGATTCACCGACGTCGCGACCTCTACCAAAATGGCGTTGTAAATGTTGCGATTATTAGACGCGATAATAGTCCATATAATGGCGTGGCTACGATCTAACAGCGGTTCCAGAGTAACGATGCGAGCAGAAATGGGACCGTTCTGATATTTCGTACACGTGTGTAACGAATTCCCTTGCCGTAACGCGCACGCTGTATACGCGTCTGTCATCGCCACATCACGCCTTGCGCTCCGAGCGTGCGGCATATGTGGCCTATATTGCTTGCAGGGCCGTGAGAAACCCATGCACGGTTAGCTTTTTAAACTTTACCGCTACATGCATGAAAATTATTACCGCTATTATTTTTATTATTATTATTGTTGTTATTATGTAGGGCGCGTACGTGCGTGAGCGTGTTTGTGTGTAAAAGAACGTCAAATTAAACGTCATTTCGTGCGTCTGAGTTTGATCTTCCACGGAGCGGCTTTTCGTTATGAGAGCTACTATACAAAGTAGAACTAATGAAAGTAAAACAAGACAAGACAAATCAAAACAAGACACCAACAACGGCAGACTGTTTGTCTGCACGTTCTTCAAACGCGACAAACCGCCGTGTTTGTTTGCGAGAGTCTGCGCCGATGTAAAAGCAGTCGATAGAAGCTTCGTTCACGTTTATTATAACAGACGGTTCTGATTTGCGTGAGTCCACCTCCACTGATTATAAGATGATATTAGGTGTAGATGCACGCGCGCTGCGAGGTGAACGCCGCTGTACGCACCCTTACGCCGACATTTCACACACGGTCGCGCTCGCGTCTTTCGACGAGTCACAGATGTGATAGGTCCCCCATGTGGACGCTTAGGGAATGGTAGCCGCTGCTGTGCCGCGCGTCGAGGTTGACTCACGATATATCGCTGTAAATGTGATGGATCGGAGGCGACAGGGCATGAAGACTCCGTCACGCATCGCGTCGGGCCGCGCGATGGATGTTGCATAACTACGCGGCCGTTCTCATTGTGCGCGCGTAGCGCCGGCGGCCATAGATTCTGTTTGCAAACAGGCGACATGAAGTGCACACGCGATGAGATCAAGTTTCGAGGGCAAACTTTAGTTAACTGGGTGCGACCGCGGCCCGTCAATCCTTTCTTTAATGCCCTGCAGAGCAAACGCCAATTCGATTCGGTATCATTCGTACGTCGGCTTTAAATGCGCGAAGAAATGTCAATGTTTGCGATTAAAATTAAACGCGCTAAAGTTCCCACATTAGCAGGGCTGTGTGTGTAGCGATCGGTGTCGGTGAGCGTCAGGCGTATAGATGTCTGCGTCTGTATTTCGACGCCATAAATGTGTAATTTTTCAAGAGTGACATCAGCGCCTCGAGGTCAGAGATGTACAGCCTATTTTGGGAAAAACCTATCACAGTGCGATCGCTTAAGCGAGGTCTGCCGAACATACATATGAGCGTGGTGCTGTGAGAATGTCATTGGCAGATCGAAAACGTGTGCGTGCTGCGTGCGTGAGCGGGAGCTTTTAAGTTGTAGTAGAAGCTTGCAAGTGAAGTCGGTGTGGAGAAGAGTTTAAACGAACACCATTTTGCTTTCTTTTCGAACTGATGCTACTTGAACCAGTAGTGCGTGGTGCAATTTCGTAGGATATGATAACGCGCCATTGCGTCCGGAAAAATTCGGCGAGAATCGAGTAAAAATTATACAAAAGAGATAGATCCTTACGATCTCATTACAAAATTCGTTGCCGTGATTTGCAGCCTGCGAGCAAATGTAATGTTGTATCTTCGGTGTGATCTGATCTCAGAACTGCATATGAATTGGAACAGCCAAGGTAGAGCTATTGTTGTGCAGCATAACAAACCATCATACATTCATCGATATATAAACGTTGATTCTGGAAATTGCCTCCATTGATATGAGGAACCATATAATTTGTGAATGGCGGACAATGCAGGTAGTGGTGCACAGTCTAAAGGTAATCATACATAATAAGAGTCGCACCCTTGTCGGATCTTCCACTATAAAACAGGCGACATATAGAAAAGGAATATTCTCGCCGATATAACCTGTTGAGTTGCTGTCTGGAACGGGTTGGAAGTACATACAAAAAGTCCTCGGTCATGCGCGTTTCGTTTGTAACAGTTGTGTCCACGCAAACAACACGTTTAAGTTAAATGTCGTCAGGTGCATGCACCTCGTGCTGGCGTTCGTATGCACTTTCAACACTGTCGAGAAAAGATAGCAACTGAAGGTCATGTAGAAGATAATAATTTTCGTGTTAGACGCATGGTGATTTTGACATTACCTAGTTTTAGTCTAGTCCCTTATGTAATGTGTAGTACTTTCAGATATTCCGGCGATAATAACCAGTGGAGTGAATCTACGTTAGACATAGAAGTAAATAGTTATATATACGTATTACCCGCATCATAGCTATGGCTTACTGTGATCGTTGGGAGAGCATGGATGTCGCTCCGTTAATTATAACCATTAAAATACCAATAATGATAATAAAATAAAAACTGACAATAAATAAAAATAATAAAAATATGATAAAATAACGTTATGTCGAAATATTTACACGTATGCGGCTCTTCTACCTGTCTTGTGTGGATTTCTTTTGTCATCAGCTAACGGTAGGAGTTATCTGGACGTTGCTGGTGCCATTGCTGGCGCTCCTGCCGGGTTACACGTATTCCGGCACGTGTGACAGCTCTCTTGGAATGACCACTGGCTACATTAAAGATTGGCAGATAGCCGCCTCCTCATCGTCTGCGTTAGAGCTTGACAAACATTCTCGTGAGAAGTACGCACGGCCGTACCTGCCAAACGGCTTTGCGTGGTGTGCTGGCGGCAACGCCTCGTCAGAATGGTTGCTCATCGATTTAGGTGTCATGTCGAAGGTATTCGACTTATAAATATTCAAACGCGCGAGAATAACCTTCCGATAACAAGTTAATGATATCGCAGAGCCCCGTTCCCGCAAAGATTAAAGATGCTTTCTCGTGCAACTAATAATTATCAAATCAATCATAATTATGGTTATTTATAATAATTACAATGTATATAATGTGTAACAAATACCAGTTAAATAATTAACACTTGCTAGATTTTACGTTTGACATGAAAGGTTAAGCGCGAAGCTACATCTAAATGAGTGACATCACGCTTGTTCGCGTAAACATGCTGACATGCAAATGCTAGAATTGAATTACACAGTGAGTAGTGCAATCTCCGCGAGTCATAAAGTGATTAAAATGAAGTAATTTTTTAAATGTCATAAACTACGGCTGGTAGCGTCTTTCAGACGTCGCTATAAAACGGTCATGTTGTGGTCAGATTTCGCATTATTTCTGTACAGTGGACAACGAAACATCATTAAATGTGAATTATTAAAATAACAACTTACTTACAGATTACTGGTATAGTGACACAAGGCAAAGGAGACAAAAAACGATGGGTCACCAAATACACGGTGTCGCACAGCCTAGATGCAATTCAGTGGAGATACTGCATGGATGCATATGGGCAACAAAAGGTGGGGGTATTATTACAAAGTAACCATACATAAATGGGAAGCGTCTTTACGTTACGTAGGCCTATTCTATGTAATCTACAAATAAAATAAGGCACTCTCCAAGCTATTTGCATATGTTAGCGATATGAGTTTCCACCACATTATACCAATTGGAAGAGGGAGCAATGCATACAATGACGACTGGGGTTGCGTATATAAGTTCTGTTAAATTTGGCTTGTTGTATGGGTTCACATCGGAAGAAAATCCGAAGTGGACGTGGAGAGTACTGACATGCAGCTATTAATCATGTTCACAAATCGACTGACAATGAAAATATCAAAAATTAGGCCCAGTGAGCTGAATTATATATAGCTTCAAAGCACATATGTGTTTTATGTGAATCTGTTGTTGTGTGTCGCGGTTCGCGTGGGCGGGCGGGATTGAGTGGCGTGTATGTGCGTGCATTTCTGTGTGTGCATGTGTGTGTAGGGTGGGGTGCGTGTATGTGCGTGTGCGTGTGTGTATGTACGTAATATTAGACGTGTCTGTGGAAAGAGTGCTGTGTATCACGTGTGACTGTGTGTCTGCTGGAGTTATGAAGGAAAATGGAGGTGGCATGTAGTCCGCTTGCATGGAAGACTGTTTACTGATTTGACCATTTACTGCACAACTTTCTGAAATGCCGATTGCCGCTAGCAATTTATGCGTCCAGTGATGTGCAAATCAAGTGCCGCACACGATCAAAAACGTAATTTGCTATACGTTGAGAAGAAGCGAGTAGTATTCGGCGATAACAGAATCAAACAGTCACTCATGTGCCAAGTAAAGATTGATTCAGTAAGCTAAGCTCCATTATCATTATTATTATTATTATTATTATTATTATTATTATTATTATTATTATTATTATTATTATTATTATTATTATGATTATGATTATTATCGTCATTATTATTATATTGACTAATATTTATAGCGGAAAGCTATTTTCCAAACAGTTTCAGCAGTCCCCGGTCAGTCCTGCGAATATAAAATCGTCTTTATACGACAACAGATGGCGCTGGCTGTGGATAAACTGTGGTAACATTGCGCATGTTTACCATGGAAACGTATGTAGATATGTTTTCATCAATGTGCGTGCGTAAATGCGCTGCATTACTTAGCTAAGTGGCCACTATTCCATTAGGCACGTCGACGCTGTTGCTTTCTATGTGTCGCATGACGTAAAGCACGCCGGTGAAGTGTGGCGGTTTCTTGTGATATATTGATATCGATTAAATAATTTCTCACCAAATGTCACCAGTTTTCAGTATATATGCAACTATGCTGAGGGCGTGTAGACCGCTCGCAAAATGCCACTTGCCGGTTAATTTACCTGAATGCCTATTCTTAGCCGAGATTAATTTCCGATCTATGGTGAAACACGCCACGTAATTACGACTCGTGATACGTTTGGCTGAGCGCTAACCGCCGAAACTGGCTAGACGATTATCTGCAAGCCAGGCGCGGTGCGCGTGGGCAGAATGCAGAACAACCACACGTTGCAGCGCGGGCAAGCTGACGGCAATGTCTACGCGCAGAACAAGTATGAATTATGGCTTTAGTGTAGGAAATAGCGAGTGGTAAATATATTATCCGTTCGCCGACAGGCAAATTTCTGATTTTTGGCCACAAATAAATTATTCGGTTAAGAGATATTTCTAGGGCTCGTTGTTTGCGCATTTTGCGAGCATTCAGTCAGACAGTGTAATAAACATGCACGCACACGCAAACGCGCGAACACACACGCACACACACACACACACACACACACACACACACACACACAAACAAACAAACAAACAAACAAACAAACACGGCCCACACGCACGCGTTCATGCGGTTTCCCGTAGGAGAAGCATTTCCCTTCTGCGCAATTCAGCACCGCATGAGACTCGTGCAAAAGCACAAAGTCAGTCTGGTGGTGCTACTGGCCTAGTGCATCCGTGCTCCCATCGCGCGCATGCGTTTACGTGACCGCATGTGTGCAAGCGCATGCGCGCATGTACATGCGCAAATGTGTGTACTCTTGCACACGTCCGTGTGCGTGAGAACATACGTGAACGTGCGCACATGCGTGTACGTGCGCACACGCGTGAAAATGTGTGTGTGACTCATGTTTGCACGTCAATGCGTCCACGTACACGCATGCGCACAAGCATACGCAGCCGTACAAGTAAACGTACAAGTATGACACTTTATCTACGCGCGCATGTGTGTTCGTGCGCGCATGCGTCTACATACGCATGTGAACGTAATGAACACGCATGCACGCACGCACGCTGCCACGCACGCACGCACGCATGCACGCACACACGCACACACGCACACACGCACACACGCACACACGCACACACATGCAATAGATTACGGCACATATAACTACGTTCTACTATGCGCATGCTAGGCTAGTATTCAGGCCAGTTGTAACACATTTTCAAAATATTTATGCGTTAAAGCGTTATGCACAGGAGACACTCAAATTGTTGCGAGATCTAATACGAATAAATATGGTATTTTTATATATTGTGACTGGCCACATTATATCCAATAAATCCCATAGGCACACACGCACATGCACTTTCGCACTAACGCACAGTAAGCGTGCCCTCACTCGTGTCCTAATATGCTCTGTTCATGGCATGATGTATACAGGTGTTTCACGGCAACACGGACTCGTTCTCGGCGCGTCATCACTACTTGCAAGAAGCCATGCTAGCGCGATTCGTGAAGATCCACGTGAAACATTTTCACGTGCATCCTTGCATGCGCGTCGAGCTGATGGGATGTCGAGGTAGGCGCGATTATCACTATCATCATCGCAGCTAAGCGTTGTAACCTATTTCGGGCTAATTCTCGGCTGATGTTATCGTGTAGCCGTTGTCCGCGTGATCACTAGTTTCAGGTTCGCAATTTTTGTCCCATGACAGGCTGCCGCGACACTAGTTAACATTACTAATTATAGCAGCTATAACGGTAGATCGATATGATGGATGTTCCCGCAAATGTGTAAGCCGCGTCTACGTGATGCGTGAAATAACAACAAATCATTTGGGATTCCTCGCCATTGAATCATGGTAATGTGTGTCATTAAAGTCTTGCCGAAACTTTAACAATTATAAACAACAGCATCTACGTAGTGCGTGAAACCAAGTCGGTTTCATACTCATCTCGTTTGTCAAGGTCTGCGTCGAAAGATACGTGAACGAGAAGAAATATTTCGCCGCTAGATTCGATTTGCTTACATCCACTTGAAAGCAAAAATATCACGGCGCTAACATTTTTGTCGTTGTTAGCTTTTTCTGTGAGAATGGAATGCGTCGACGCGAGCAGAAAAAAACAGCTAAAATAACTGGCCCCCTGCCCCACCTCCCGAAGAGGGTCTCAAATAGCCTCGGTATTTGAAACCTGCGTTTAAGATCATATAGCACGCATTTATACATCGTATAGCCCAATTTTTTTCCGCTGACGTAGCTTGGTCCTACTGCTTCTATACGGGGGCAAATCACACAAGTTACGCCTCTACACGATGTAAAAGGCAGTCTAAAATCATTTCTAAAAGAACGCAGGCGTGTGTGTGTGTGTGTGTGCGTGCGTGCGTGCGTGCGTGCGTGCGTACGTGCGCGTGTACTAATTCGAAGTATGGGCTGCACTAAATGCCAATATTCCCACAGAAGCGTTGCGCGTGCCGCGTAATGTAATAGCACTGCCCACGGCAGATGTCCCTTCCCTTAGCCGTGCAGTCTTCGTACCACCCAATTTACTGATTGTTTGCTGTGTAATGAGCGCACACGGTCAATATTGTTGACACCGACCGGAATGGATTAACAGATGACACTGCAGTGAGTAGGGTTGTAGCGCGCTATGTCGACGACCACGTATAAATTACTTTCTCCCATCAGCAAGCTTAAGGTTTCTAACAGAAAATATTACTCAATATGAACACTGAACGCGCTGCACGAATTCGAAACTATCTCACCAATGTTGCTGGTTCGACAATACCGATAAGCCAACGCCACCGCCCCCGCCGCCACCGCTGCCATCACCATCACCATCACCACCACCATCACCACCACCATCACCATCACCACCACCATCACCACCACCACCACCACCATCACCCACCGCCACCGCCGCCGCTGCCATCACCATCACAATCACCATCACCACCACCATCACCCCCCGCCCCCGTCGCCACCGCCGCCGCTGCCATCACCATCACAATCACCATCACCACCACCATCAC